ACTATTCACCAAGAGAGTTTTCATCTATATTTTTCGTAGCTGTCTATTTACCACCACAACCGATGCTGGCAATAAGACCGCGCTCAACCAGCTGTATAAAGCCATAAGCAAAGAAGAAAATGCTCATCCAGAGGCGGCACTCCTAGTGGCCGGGGACTTTAATGCAGGGAAACTTAAATCAGTTTTACCTAATTTCTACCAGCATGTTAAGCATGTTGGTTAAGGGTTTGTAAGTAAGCATTTCACGGTAAGGTCTACACCTGTTGTATTCAGCGCATGTGACAAATACAATTTGATTTGGATCTGAGAGGAGGTACAGTAGCACTAAAAATAGCCTTATCTTCAGCACATGAGCAGTTTGTTATACTGTTATTCCTAGCTGGCGTTTCCACTGTTCTCAGACTGCTTTGGCCAGCCACCAAAATCTATCTATCACCCCTTCACAGGGAGACAGCTTCCTATGAAGACAATGTTTCAATATACAGTGCCTTTGGAAATTATTCAGACCCCTTTACTTTTTCCACATTTTGTTACATTACAGCCTTATTCTAAAATTGTTTAAATTGTTTAAATTGTTTAAATTGTTTTTTTTTTTACCCCTCATCAATCTACACACAATACCCCATAATGACAAATAGGTTTTTAGATATTTTAGCTAATTTATAAAATAAAAAAACGGAAATATTACATTTACATAAGTATTCAGACCGTTTACTCAGTACTTTGTTGAAGCGCCTTTGGCAGAGATTACAGCATCGAGTCTTCTTGGGTATGACACTACAAGCTCGGCACACCTGTATTTGGGGAGTTTCTCCCATTCTTTTCTACAGATCCTCTCAAGCTCTGTCAGGTTGGATGGGGATCGTTGCTGCACAGCTATTTTCAGGTCTCTCCAGAGATGTTCGATCGGGTTCCAGTCCGGGCTCTGGCTGGGCCACTCAAGGACATTCAGAGACATGTCCCGAAGCCACTCCTGCGTTTTCTTGGCTGTGTGCTTAGGGTCCTTGTCCTGTTGGAAGGTGAACCTTCGCCCCAGTCTGAGGTCCTGGGTGCTCTGGAGCAGGTTTTCATCAAGGATCTCTCTGTACTTTGCTCCGTTCATCTTTCCCTCGATCCTGACTAGTCTCCCAGTCCCTGCTGCTGAAAAACATCCCCACAGCATGGTGCTGCCACCACCATGCTTCACCGTAGGGATGGTGCCAGGTTTCCTCCAGAAGTGACGCTTGGCATTCAGACCAAAGAGTTCAATCTTGGTTTCATCAGACCAGAGAATCTTGTTTCTCATGGTCTGAGAGTCTTTAGGTGCCTTTTGGCAAACTCCAGGTGGGCTGTCATGTTCCTTTTACTGAGGATTGGCTCTACCATAAAGGCCTGATTGGTGGAGTGCTGCAGAGATGGTTGGCCTTCAGGAAGCGTACAATGACACCTTTGTTTTTAAGCCCTGGATTTCTAATCCCTTGATATTATTGTTGGATCTGATTTTAATAGCTAACATTTCGATGGCCATAATAAATGGATATGCCGATAGGGGACAACGTTGTTTTACTCCTCTTGACAGTTTAAAACTTTTTGAGAAATAGCCATTATTTACTATTTTACACCTAGATTTACTATACATGATTTTAACCCATTTTATAAGAGATTCTCCAAAATTGAAATGCTCCAGGTATTTATATATAAACTCCAGTCGTACTTTATCAAATGCCTTTTCAAAGTCTGCTATGAATAGACCACTGTGTTCTTGGGGACCTTTAATGCTGCAGACACTTTTAGGTACCCTTCCCCAGATTTGTGTCTCGACAGAACCCTGTGTCGGGGCTCTACGGACAATTAATTCGACCTCATGGCTTGGTTTTTGCTCTGACATGCATTGTCAACTGTGGCACCTTATATAGACAGGTGTGTGCCTTTCCAAATCATGTCCAACCACAGGTGGACTCTAATCAAGTTGTAGAAACATCTCAAGGATGATCAAAGGAAACAGGATGCACTTGAGCTCAATTTCGAGTCTCATAGCAAAGGTATTTTTACATTTGCACAAATTTCTAAAAACCTGTTTTCGCTTTGTCATTATGGGGTATTGTATGTAGATTGCTGAGGAATTGTTTTTATTTCATCCAGAAGAATAAGGCTGTAATGTAACAAAATGTGGAAAAAGTTAAGTGATCTGAAGACTTTCCGAAGGCACTGTAGGGTTACAGTAGGGTGTATAGTAGGGTGTCAAATGTGTATTCCGTTTATTATGCTCTACTAATCAAGCATTGATTGACTGAATAACCTGTGTAGATATCTAAAAGAGCAGTTTGGGGAAATTGGATGATCATACTACAAAACTTTATTTGCCCCATCATTAGAAATCAGTGGATACTTCTCACCCTGGGTGGGGCTGTTCAGTCCAGAAGCCTCTCTCTCTCTTCTCTACTCTACTCAGTGCTGGGTGTTGTTAGTGGGTGTGTTCACACCGCTGTGTACGGCCTATGTCTGGTCCTGCCAGAATGATGTCAGGGCTATTCCCACACTGCGGGAGCTGCAGAGGCTGGTGTAAATGACCTAACTGTCAGTCAGCCACCGCTGAGCTGTTTTATCTGTTGGACTCTCATTGGGGCTTCAACCACTCCTATGAAGACTACTGCACATCTGTAAGTATTTCATTAAATCCCAGCCTCCTCCTTGCCCATTAGACAACTTAATGGGTAGTGTAGGGTATGCTGATGATGAATGAGTAGGTGTTTAATGATAGACATGCCACACCTCAGGACTCTGAACAAGATGAACATGCGCAGATGAACCTTGTAGATGAAATACATGTCTGTTATTGTGTATGGTCGCCACACGTCCCTAGCTAACGTGTTGATGCAACAGCAAAGATAATATTGTTATGCTGGTAATGTGTTTATGGAGGACGTTACAGGTGTTTGGGACTATGGGCCTAAACCTGGATAGGCTGTGTTTTACTCACAGTGGAGCGGTAGTTATTCCTAGCTGTGGCTAGAGCGTGAGGCCATTTCTTCACTCTGAGAGGGTTCTCTTGTTGTTTACAACCTGCTGCTGGCTCTCTGCCAGTATTGGTCTTGATTAGCCCGCCTTTATGTTCCACAAACACAAGAGACACTTTATAATTTAAAGTGTGGGAGGCCGATAGGTGTATAGGGTGTAAGCTTTCAGAATGTCCACCTGTATTAGTACTTACAGTAAGAAAAATACCGGACGCCTCTGTGCTTTGTTTGTGGTCATTTTTCAGCCGGGATTTTGAAGGATTCCACACTTCAACCCCCACATTTGGTTCGGAGGCAAAATTATAATTCACTCTGAAAGTTTGCACGTGTAATCATTAATCTCTGTCAGTAGTCAGAGGCGGAGAGATATCGTAAAAAGAGCATTTGACACCAGGTTTGAACAGACTGAAACAATTTAGTTGCCACAGTGACTGTAATTGAACAAAGACCACATTTCCCTGGGTTTAGTCATGTGTGTCGGAAGGTAATGAATGGGCTTTGAAGATCACGCTGTAGTTAAATAATTTTGTGCTCAATTTATTTTCGACTATTATATGATGCCCTGTTGGATGGTTTTAGTAACATTTGTTTTATTTTATTATTACGCCTCAATGATTTTGATATGATGAAGAGATCGGTTGTGAATTGAGTTCCTCTGTCCTGTTACATGATTTATGACGACTGAGATTAACTATCAAACAATAATTTGTCAGAAAGAACTGTCTGCAATGCCGCATTGTGCCCAGTAGTGACTAAATTATTAATTATAAAGCTGTATTTTGGATTAGCTCCCATGCATCATTTCGTGGTATAGTATTGAGTTAGCAATTCTGTGTTACTTTTCTATGTTTGTTGGCTCTCTCGACTCCTTAGCTCCAATTGTCATTAACAATAGACAGTCCCACAGGAACACTGGCGTGTCTCCTGCCCCATCCTGCTCATCAATCAATTATTACTTGACTTCCTGGTCAAGGTTCATGAAACAAAACAGCCCCCATAGTGGTATATGTGCAGAATCTCATATTGGTTTGAAAAATGAAAATGCACAGGGCTAACAGATATTCTGAGGGCTTATACCCAGGACTTCTGTCTTGTTGTGCCAGCATGTCTATAAAGTAGGTGAGGTGAGGGAAAAAATAGCCTTAGTGAGATCTAAATTCAAAGACCAAGGTCATTCCCTGGGTTTTATTTGTATTCTCCTCACTGTTAAAGTGAATCTCCCAGTGAATAATGTTTTCACTCTCTTTCTAAATGAGATTCACAGGAGCATGGAGAGAAAAAAAAACTTTCCCTCACTCTCTCTCTCTCTTTCCCTCTTTTTCTCCTCCAACAGACAATACAGAGCCAGTGAACAAATGTGCTGGGGACAAACAACTTTTAGCATACCCCCTCCCCCCCAAAAAATCTACCGTTTGGCCCAGGATAAAAGGTCTCTGAATTAAATGCTTATACTTGATTAGATTAAGGCTGCAGTAATTGTCAGGGATGATTTATAGAGGTAATTTGTTGCCACAACACACAATACATGTCGGGGAGAATGGAAACATCAGCATGGTCACGGGCTGATGTAAATCCAGTCAGCAATCAGGGGCCAACTCTTAGATGCTGATAATTATGTTTAAAAAATTGTGCTGCCCTATTAACTCTTCCCAGACACCAGGATCCAATCATGGAAACTCATGAATTCAGCATATTGGCCAAGATGCAGTCCAGTACAACTACCACTCCTGATGCTGCTCAGTTAATCACAACAGGTCTACTTCAATAAGACCCGGCCTGCCATCGATCTATGAAGCATATTACCCTGCTAATCCAATTGTTGTTTGTTTGCTTGCAATGCAGCTCTCTTGATATATATATCTCTGACAGATTGCATCGGCTATGAAAAATAGAAACAGCTAATTCAGATGGACTTTATTTGTTTCATTCTTATTTCTTCTTCTCTGTTTTCTCTTTGCCGGCTAAAGTAAAGAAGTTATCGAGGAAGGAACCAGCAGTGCTACAATGAGGTCTGAGGCCTTGTTGCTGTATTTCACGCTACTGCAGATTGCCAGGGCTGGCTTCCCAGAAGATTCCGAGCCAATCAGTATTTCACATGGCAACTGTGAGTACCCCAAGCTTTTTCCAACTCCCCCCAAACACCCTGCTATCCAACCACCACCCCCCTCTACCCTCTCCCCCTCCCCTTCCCTCTGAGTGCTTTTGGAAGGTAGAATGTAATTTGGTGCCCAGGGAAAAAATAAATAAAATGAGTTAAAGCAGCATTTGAAATGGAGCCCACCCTACATCAAAGGATAATCCTGTATTTTCCTGTTGGGGCTTTCATGCAGTGTGTGATAGTGTAAATACCAGATGAGGCTAAGATGTCCCCTGTAGCTCAGTTGGTAGAGCATGGCACTTGCAACGCCAGGGTTGTGAGTTCGTTTCCCACGGGGGGCCAGTATGAAAATGTATGCACTCACTAACTGTTAGTCGCTCTGGATAAGAGTGTCTGCTAAATGACTAAAATGTAAGATAGGTTTATTGTGCTGTCTCTCTGTTTCAGTAGACCCTATATTCCTCCCAGCCATGCAGTGTTGGAGCAACCTCAGAAAGACCTTTCTATCAGGCTTTTTAAAAACATATTGCCTTGCTGGTGGGGGGGTTGCTTCTGATATTTATTGTTTTTGTTCCCCCTCCTCACAGATACAAATCAGTATCCGGCTTTCGTTGGACACAAACCTGGAAGAAATAATACACAACGGCACAAACTGGACATCCAGCTGATCATAATAATGAACCGAACGTTGTATATCGCTGCCAGGTCAGTTCCTGCCCTTTTTCTCGCAGGCCACTAGCTCTCATATCAGTTCCAGTTTTAGATTTTCCCCACAAAGTAATATCAAATGAGATTACAATGAATTGTGAATTTGTGATGCTATTTTAATCCAATAATGTGAGGCCGTTCCTTGTGGAATTGTACTATATGTGAATGTTATTTTGATTTTTTTTTTTTTGGGGGGGGGGCAGGGTCAAGTTACATATTAATAATAATACTAATGTTGTACATCCCATTTCTGTTTAAGTGTATACACACACAAAGAAATTGTATAAAAGATCAAAACAAAACAAAGTATATCAGTTCAATTCAATTAAAATCAACTAGATTCAAATCCACTGAATACAATTCGATTGATTTAATGTAAATCAATAAATTATAAAAAAATTTTGTGTGTCAAAGAGACTTAAAAGAAGACACTGACTTAGCCAGACTGATATCTTGCAGCAGACAGAGGTGCACAGTATATATATATTCTCTTTTAAGAATGATACTGTTTGTGGCTTTGTATTAATCTTACTATTATAGCCTCTCAGTCTTGTTGTAAAAGTTATTCCAAGCACCTCAAATAACTTTCTTGCAACCTTGTTATAAATAAAGGGTCTAGACTGAAACTGAGGTTGTCTGACGGAGATGCCAGAGTCATCAATAGTATTCTCCATGGGGAAGGATATTGAATTCATTTCATTGTGTATCATTATTTTTCTGAAACTCAAAAGTACTAGCTTGGCTGGACAGTGATTTTTTTAAAAATAATAGACCTTACATGTTACAATGTGAACAAAGCCACAGCATTCTCCACTACATTGGGGGATACAGATGATGCAGATCCGTGTCTTCTTTTGTATTGGCCTAATTACATAGTAGCTTGATTGGATGCTGTTGAAAGCAACAATGGGTTGCTTTGTTTTCTGAGAGTGCAACAAAATAAGTGGCCATTGAAGCCTGGTTCCTAAGTAGCAGGCCTGTTTAACACGAATGTGGTCATTAGGAGGTGTTGGGCGCTTTGGAGTCCTAGCCTTTGGTCTGACTGCTGCCTCCCACCTACTCCACACCAGGCCTGGGGGAAATGAGAAAGGGAGGGTTTTATTAGTGGGGGGGTGGTGTGAGGACAACAAGGTGTGTTTCTCACTAGCATATTAAAGGAGACAGGAATTCCGACGGACACATGGCGAGGGGGAATGTGACCATGGGATTGTTGGAATTGCTGTCGTTGAGTAGATAGATTTTAACTGGGAGAAATGTTTGAATCGATAGGATGATGTCACCAAAGCAAAGTGGACACCGAGATTGCTGAGCACAAATGGATATTGATACATACAACTAGATGACCAACAGTATAAAGCAAATAGTTGGATGGTCATTGCAAAAACAGAATTCAGAGTAAGTCAACAGGCCAACCGTACAAACAATACAATGAAAACTTTTGCCTAATCAGACCTCAGTAGAGGCCAATAAGCTGCCTTTACACAGGCAGAACAATTCTGATTATTTTTCCACTAATTGGTCTTTTGACCAATCAGATCAGCTCTTTTGCCAATATTTGGGCAAAAGTTCAGAATTGGGCTGCCTATGTAAAGGCAGCCTTATAGTCATAACCCAGTGAAATGTGTCTGTTTTGAGGATAGTTGTGGGCCAGTGTTGAGGGCCCAGTGTTGAGGGCCCAATGTTGAGGGCCCAGTGTTGTGGGACCAGTGTTGAAGGCCCAATGCTGTGGGTCCAGTGTTATGGCCATGATGCCATGCCTGAAGACCAAATAATCTCAGTGTGCAGCCTGTAGCTGGTCAGTGGAAACGGTGTCCAAATCCAAACTCTGTTTCAGGCCATTTTGTGAATGGTATAAATCCTTTTGGCTCTTGTTTTACGCTAGCAATAACACCACAAGCTCTTTTAGCAGCAGGACATGCAAACATATCCACTGCCAAAATTGTAAATAGACAAAAGTGGCTTAATCTGGAGAAAAAACCCGTAATCTTTGGCAATGCTGGAGCTCCAACATATGCTGTAATTGCCGTTATTTGGTCTTTGTGGGAGTAGTTTTAAACATGTATCTTGATTAGGTCATTCTCTTTAGTCATTTGTGGCTTCTAATATGTTAATTATTCCACAAAGCTTGAATATGTTATGTTAATTATGCATTCAGTTCATGTCTGTTGTGGATTGGTTTGATATTCTGTACATTTTTCTCAAATCTTTTTTAGTAAAGACATTATCCACATTACATTTACATACATTTTCGTCATTTAGCAGACGCTCTTATCCAGAGCGACTTACAAATTGGTGCATTCACCTTATGATAGCTAGTGGGACAACCACTTTACAATAAAACATTTTTTTTTGGGGGGGTGGGGTAAGGGGGGGTAGAAGGATTACTTGATCCTATCCCAGGTATTCCTTAAAGAGGTGGGGTTTCAAGTGTCTCCGGAAGGTGGTGAGTGACTCCGCTGTCCTGGCGTCGTGAGGAAGCTTGTTCCACCATTGGGGTGCCAGAGCAGCGAACAGTTTTGACTGGGCTGAGCGGGAACTGTGCTTCCGCAGAGGTAGGGGGGCCAGCAGGCCAGAGGTGGATGAACGCAATGCCCTCGTTTGGGTGTAGGGACTGATCAGAGCCTGAAGGTACGGAGGTGCCGTTCCCCTCACAGCTCCGTAGGCAAGCACCATGGTCTTGTAGCAGATGCGAGCTTCAACTGGAAGCCAGTGGAGTGTGCGGAGGAGTGGGGTGACGTGAGGGAACTTGGGAAGGTTGAACACCAGACGGGCTGCTGCGTTCTGGATGAGTTGTAGGGGTTTGCCAGGATATGACACTTTTATCTCCTAAGAGTCAGTCATTTTCTTTGACTAGCTGTTGAGTAATTCTCAGTCTAATATCTTAGTGGGAAGAAACCAAATCATTTTATTTTAAGTAATATCTGTTTAGTCTATTGAGTCATAGGCCTATCTAGTCATTCTCATGGTGATGAACAATGACATTATGAGATAGCTGTAATATTCTTTAGGTTTGTCTGCTTTACTTTACCATATTTCCAAGCTAAATAATGCATACATCAATGTTGTCATGAATTCTAATAAGGGAATTAATGTCACCACCCAGTGAGCACAAGACGTTGAAAATACATGTCTTTTCAACCAAAAATATTTATGTTCATAGGGCTCATAGGGCAGTCTGGCCCCTTTTGTGCACTGCCCATACTCAGCCTGGCAGGGGTTGTCAGAGGCCTGCTCCCTGCTGTATGTTGAGTGTGTTCTTGTGGTGCTGCTGTGTGTGGGCGTGTGTTTGCTAGGCCTGTCCAGGGCCGACTCTGTGATCAGAGGTAGAGCAGACACTGAGGCTTAGCCCGGACTTAAGCTCTGTCCTGGTGTCTGCCCGCAGGGACGATCAACCGGCCACTGCCAGCCTGCCAATAGGTAGCAGCCAGCGGGTACCCCAAGGCCCAGGTCACTCCGCATGCAGGGCATAGTCGCCATTCCCTGCCCTCGACTCCCGCTAACCATGGCAACGGCACCCACCCTCTGTTTACACCCCTCAATAAGGGTGGGAATGGGAAAGTCTGCCATTAGGAGAGCCGCCCGCGTGCATGTGAACGCGCCTCCCCGGTCCTCCTGAAAACCCTGAGTCTCTTTGGGCCTGCCCACTGGAGGCGCATGGGTCTCAATTATTCTAGTCACCATCAAATCCTGTTAAAGCCCGTTAATGACGCGGATTACACTTCCTCTGCCTCTCAGAACCAGGCAGTAATTTTGCCCACTGCAGTGTTCTGCCTGTACAAAATGTAAATAAGACAGCCAGAAAATACTCAGTGAGGCTCCTCTTTAAGCCACTCCTCTGTGTGCCCATTTAGCTTCTATACCCTCACATACACAGCAAAACAATGTACAATGCCCCCTACCACACATGATCTAGTTATGAAGAGGGTGGAATATGGGGGGGGGGGGGGGGGGGGTTCCATTTGGAGCCGATAGGTGTGGGATGCATACTAATTATGGCCCCTTTTCTGCCGTCCGAGCGCGAGATTGTTTCACAAAGGGCCACCAGATGGACCGCACTGGCCTGCAGTTCCCCCAGAAGAAATGGGGTGTTATGAAAACGACATTCCCTAGCACAAAGCCCCTCTGTTCTCATGGTTGGATGTCCAAGTCCTCCTCTTTCCCCCTCGACCCACCAAAGTGCACTTTCAACGCCCATGTTTAGAGCTGTGAGGATATTTACATACCTTCTATCCAACTCACATTCTTACGTCCTTAATTTCGGGAAGTACAGAGCCCACTCCACAGTGATTCATTTCACATTAAAAACCGGGTGGTTCGAGCCCTGAATTCTGATTGGCTGAAAGCGTGGTACTGTATATAAGACCGTATACCATGGGTGTGACAAACAATGGCTATTTAGTAATCTAATTACATTGGTAACCAGTTTATAATAGCAATAAGGCACCTCAGGGGTTTGTAGTACAGTGGGGAGAACAAGTATTTGATACACTGCCGATTTTGCAGGTTTTCCTACTTACAAAGCATGTAGAGGTCTGTAATTTTTATCATAGGTACACTTCAACTGTGAGAGACGGAATCTAAAACAAAAATCCAGAAAATCACATTGTATGATTTTTAAGTTATTAATTTGCAATTTATTGCATGACATAAGTATTTGATACATCAGAAAAGCAGAACTTAATATTTGGTACAGAAACCTTTGTTTGCAATTACAGAGATCATACGTTTCCTGTAGGTCTTGACCAGGTTTGCACACACTGCAGCAGGGATTTTGGCCCACTCCTCCATACAGACCTTCTCCAGATCCTTCAGGTTTTGGGGCTGTCGCTGGGCAATACGGACTTTCAGCTCCCTCCAAAGATTTTCTATTGGGTTCAGGTCTGGAGACTGACTAGGCCACTCCAGGACCTTGAGATGCTTCTTACGGAGCCACTCCTTAGTTGCTCTGGCTGTGTGTTTCGGGTCGTTGTCATGCTGGAAGACCCAGCCACGACCCATCTTCAATGCTCTTACTGAGGGAAGGAGGTTGTTGGCCAAGATCTCGTGATACATGGCCCCATCCATCCTCCCCTCAATACGGTGCAGTCGTCCTGTCCCCTTTGCAGAAAAGCATCCCCAAAGAATGATGTTTCCACCTCCATGCTTCACGGTTGGGATGGTGTTCTTGGGGTTGTACTCATCCTTCTTCTTCCTCCAAACACGGCGAGTGGAGTTTAGACCAAAAAGCTATATTTTTGTCTCATCAGACCACATGACCTTCTCCCATTCCTCCTCTGGATCATCCAGATGGTCATTGGCAAACTTCAGACGCGCCTGGACATGCGCTGGCTTGAGCAGGGGGACCTTGCCTGCACTGCAGGATTTTAATCCATGGCGGCGTAGTGTGTTACTAATGGTTTTCTTTGAGACTGTGGTCCCAGCTCTCTTCAGGTCATTGACCAGGTCCTGCCGTGTAGTTCTGGGCTGATCCCTCACCTTCCTCATCATCATTGATGCCCCACGAGGTGAGATCTTGCAGGGAGCCCCAGACCGAGGGTGATTGACCGTCATCTTGAACTTCTTCCATTTTCTAATAATTGCACCAACAGTTGTTGCCTTCTCACCAAGCTGCTTGCCTATTGTCCTGTAGCCCATCCCAGCCTTGTGCAGGTCTATAATTTTATCCCTGATGTCCTTACACAGCTCTCTGGTCTTGGCCATTGTGGAGAGGTTGGAGTCTGTTTGATTGAGTGTGTGGACAGGTGTCTTTTATACAGGTAACGAGTTCAAACAGGTTCAGTTAATACAGGTAATGAGTGGAGAACAGGAGGGCTTCTTAAAGAAAAACTAACAGGTCTGTGAGAGCCGGAATTCTTACTTGTTGGTAGGTGATCAAATACTTATGTCATGCAATAAAATGCAAATTAATTACAGAAAAATCATACAATGTGATTTTCTGGATTTTTGTTTTAGATTCCGTCTCTCACAGTTGAAGTGTACCTATGATTAAAATTACAGACCTCTACATGCTTTGTAAGTAGGAAAACCTGCAAAATAGGCAGTGTATCAAATACTTGTTCTCCCCACTGTATATGGCCAATATACCACTGCTAAAATACTGTACTATGGAAATGTACAAGATGTATTTTAGAAGTTACACTACCACATAGAATGGAGATGAGAGTCGGTCTGGCCTGCTGTATATTTAAGAGCTCTACCATATATTTTAGTGGCCAGCAGGAAACTAATGGGGACTTGCTCTGAAATGAGCCCAGGTGCAGACAGTGACTGCTGGTGTTGACACAGAGACAGCTCCAGCATTGTCCTGCCAGGATGTTTGCATGACGCATGACTTGGCTCTGTCTTATCTCTGCTGGAGCTCTGCTCTGATTTGACTCTGCTGGAATCACTAGGCTCTGAAACACTGGCCACATCAACAGGAGGGAGCAAATTATTGGAAATATGGACTTTTTGGAACAATGTCTCCAATTTTTATCAATTAGGCAAAGCATATGGAGGAGAGAGAATCCAGAGAATCTTAATGAAGAACGTTTTGAGGAGGATGTCTGTGGCCCGAGCTTGAATCAAATTTTTGTCGCAGCTATGCAGTGCAATTATTTGCCAAAGCAGATAAGAGTGAACTTTCTCCCAGAAAGAAGATACACTATATATACAAAAGTATGTGGACACCCCTTCAAATTATTGGATTTAGCTATTTCAGCCACACTCGTTGCTGACAGGTGTATAAAATCGAGCACACAGCCATGCAATCTCCATAGACAAACATTGGCAGTCGAATGGCCTTACTGAAGAGCTCAATGACTTTCAAGTGGCACCGTCATAGGATGCCACCTTTCCAACAAGTCAGTTTGTCAAATTTCTGCCCTGCTAGAGCTGCCCTGGTCAACTGTAAGTGCTGCTATTGTGAAGTGGAAACGTCTAGGAGCAACAACGGCTCAGCTGAGAAGTGGTAAGCCACACAAGCTCACAGAACGGGACCGCCGAGTGCTGAAGCGCTTAGCGTGTAAAAATCGTCTGTCCTCGGTTGCAACACTCACTACCAAGTTCCAAACTGCCTCTGGAAGCAACGTCAGCACAAGAACTGGAGCTTCATGAAATGGGTTTCCATGGCCGAGCAGCCGCACACAAGCCTAAGATCACCATGCGCAATGCCAAGCGTCGGCTGGAGTGATGTAAAGCTTGCCGCCATTGGTCTATGGAGCAGTGGAAACGCGTTCTCTGGAGCCATGAATCACGCTGTTTTTCATGGTTTGGGCTAGGCCCCTTAGTTCTAGTGAAGGGAAATCTTAACGCTACAGCATACAATGAAATTCTAGACGATTCTATGCTTCCAACTTTGTGGCAACAGTTCATGACAATGCCCCAGTGCACAAGGCAAGGTCCATACAGAAATGGTTTGTTGAGATCGGTGTGGAAGAACTTGACTGGCCTGCACAGAGCCCTGACCTAAACCACATCGAACACCTTTGGGATGAATCGGAACGCCAACTGCGAGCCAGGCCTAATCGCCCAACATCAGTGCCCGACCTCACTAATGCCCTTGTGGCTGAATGGAAGCAAGTGCCCACAGCAATGTTCCAACATCTAGTGGAAAGCCTTCCCAGAAGAGTGGAGGCTGTTGTGGTAGCAAAGGGGGTACCAACTCCATATCAATGCCCATGATTTTGGAATGAGATGTTTGACGAGCAGGTGTCCACATACTTTTGGTCATGTAGCGTAGTTTCATTGCAACTGTCTCAGGCCAGAGAGAGAGAGAGGGTGGAGCTTCTCCAAATGCTACCCTCTCAAGATTAATTATTCAATTTAGGACTCAGCGCTGATAACATAACTTAGTCAGGTTTTATCCTCTAGGAGATGCCAGAGCCCCAGGAAACCCATATAAGTGGATTCATTTCAGAATTGCTGTTCCTCCAGACTTTATTAAATTCCATTAATGAGAGAGCAAGCCTCTGTGCAGTTTGGGAGTCATAATTAAAGCCCAAGTCTGACAGTCTGTTACAGACTTTGATTAAAACCACATTCACACAGTCATCTCAAACAAATGAATCTTAAAAGTGGTTACAGCGTTGAGCACGGTCACCTTTCCCTCCTCAAACAAGCGTGTCAATCACTCTCAGAGCCTTTCTCCACGGTCAGTCAACACAGTCTGGCAGAAAGGTAGTTAACCCCTGAATTTATGTGTTCCATATGCGGGTAGGAAAGCCTGTATTACCAGTGAAACACATAGGTCTTGTCTGCGCTTTAATGAGTGTTAGTATAGATTTCCTGTGGCTGAACATTATGCTTAATTGACCTGAACAGCATAGAGTGACTTGGTCTTTCCCATAAACAAAGAGGCTTTTGTCTGGGTGGCAGCAGCACTCTAAACTTTTGTTGACTGTTTCTGTCTGACAGAGCAAATAGCCCCTTTGTATATTGTTATTTCCTTCCTGTTTGAACAAAGTTTAGACAAATATGAACAGTTTCAGATTCGCTGGGGGAGAAATAGTTGAATTGTTGGTGTTGAGTGCCTGTCTATTTCCTCTCTTTCAGGGATCACATATACACGCTGGATACAGACACCGCCAACTCCGAGGAGATCTTTTTCAGCAAGGTGAGTCTTTTTTTTTTGAAGACGTGTTGTTCTGCGCCGTTCTCCGGGCGGCCGTACTGTGCCGCTCGCCTAATTACCTGGCGGGCTGTCCTGTCCAGTCCCGCTCCAGCGGCTTGTCTGGCGTGAGACACTGCAACGCCGTGACCTCGCTAAGCACGTTATCCTATCAGGCACCAAACCACATGCGTCATTGCTGGATGGGGCCAAGAGAGAAACCGGAGATTTATGTACATATGTAACAACCCCTAACCTCCAACCCACCTTATCCTCAGTGTCTTGTGTGATCCACCGTTTTGTGGCAAATAATGAGAGCAAGCCAGATCAAAGAGACTGAGACAGAGATTGATCACTGAGAGCCTGTTTAGCAGTAGTCTTTAATCAGTGGGCAGGCTCCAAACACTAACACTGAACTGTAGCTGTAGTAGAGTCTGCTGTGGAATGGCAGCTCGCCGGCTTCAGAGCAGCCCTGAGAGGACCCACAGGGCACAAGCAGAATGCAGCAAATGGAGCGAGGTGACTCCAGGCCGGGCTCTGGCTCTCTTGAGGAATGATGACCAGGGTAACTAAGCAGAGATCTCCATTGATTCCCCATCGATTTTTCTCTCCACAGAAACTGACATGGAAGTCCAGACAGGCAGATGTGGACACCTGCCGAATGAAGGGGAAGCACAAGGTACAGACTACAGATATACGTATTCTCCCTCTCCTCAATGTACTGAATGTCACAGAATACATAATAATAACTAGGGCCAGGAGGTTTTCTTGACCATGGAACCTTACCAGGAAAATGCATGTGCATATTCATTTAAACCTACTTATGTCATCTCAGAATGCCTTGCTGTCTCACATGCTTCTATATGAATACTCTATCGTGAAATGAATATTTAACTGTAATTAAATGTCCTTTATTGTATAATTCATGTTATTGTGCATGTTTTTGTTTTCCGTGCATTTGTCATTCTCATCAAATAATATACTGTACAGTTAGTAGCATTCCAGGAACATAAACTAGTCAGTCGCCATCATTAATTCCTTTGAACTTAGCTGTGAATGTCATTTCGCTCTAGTTTCTATTCAGCACAAGAATGGATCAGTCACAATTTTAAAAAAAAATCCCTTTCCTCCCCAAGGATGAATGTCACAATTTCATCAAGGTCCTCCTGCAGCAAAACGATGACACCTTGTTTGTGTGCGGAACAAATGCTTTCAACCCCTCCTGTCGAACTTACAAGGTACAGCTCGCATTGCTCACTACTACACATGCTCTGACTTCACCTGCTAAGAATGTGCTACATAGACAGTGCTGTATTTCACCGATATGGGTACGACGTAAAGGAGAAGAGGTGTGGAGAGATGGACATTGATGGATTACTTTCAAAAGCCCATGGTCGGATGTGTCTCTTTTTCTAGGTGTAGTTTGGCACGTTTGATTTAAAAGCAGGTAAACCTAGGCTGACATATAGGCACAGCAGTTCTTTTGAAATATGATGCTCTAATCAAGGCAGGCGGCCGCCTCGGTTGTCAAGGCATTTTTGGAATAGTTTCAAGATTTCCATGGCTTTGGCAGAATTATTAAGCCTGTCTTCTTTAGAGAGGAGCACCATCTGATTAAGGCAGCACCCCGTACCTCTCTGATTCAGAGGGGTTGGGTTAAATGCGGAAGACACATTTCAGTTGAATGCATTCAGTTGTACAAATGACTAGTTGTACAACTGACCCCCTTTCCCCTTTTCCCTTTATATGTCATCCTTAGGAAAGATAACTCTAGAAGGCAGTTGTTGTTGGCATGTTGGGAAATGAATTGATGCCACAGTGGACTTGATTTGAAGGTGTTGTTGGGAGACATCAGGGATTTGTTGTTTATCGCGAGGTATGTTTACCGCTGAACAAGACTCTTTGCTTCATTGGGTTTTTGGTTCAACGAAGCACAGAAAGGGCTTGTGTTCTCACTCAAGCATTCTTTAGAGAATGCAGAATTTATGACCACATTTTGTAGGCATGGTTAGTTTTACAGTTCCTCTGCTCCCATTTCAGACCCTTTTAATTGTTATTACTGGTATATTGTCTGCGGAAAGCTGACATCCTCACTGACATACCGTAACACGTAACGAGTGGCGCTGTAAAATGTGTAAACGTTATGGTGAAGAGGTGAAATGAACAGGCTGTGCCTGTTGGCTGTAGGCTGTTGGCAGGCTTTCCCTGCCGACCCATTCCAGGCTTTTGAGGTGCCCGCTGGGTGCATCCACTCCTCGGTGCTCAGCCTGGTTTTGGTCGAGGGGGAGAGAGTATATGTGCGCATGCATCCAGCTTGGCCACAGTTTGCCTCACCACCTCGCCGGCCTGACAGGCCTGAAAAGAGCTTCTGTTTCGGGGCCAACCTCATCCCACATTAATCAGAGCCACGGGGAGGGGGGAGGGCTATACAAATGTTGCTGTCGACGGCAGCTACACCACTTGCCCCCCCCCCCCCCCCCCCGCCTCTCTGAGCTCAGACAGACACCTTGGCATCCGTGGGCCGCTCCCCAGAGCCGAGGCCCAGCTCGCTTTGTGTAATAAAGCCTCCCTCCCTAGCTGCCTGATATATGACGGGTGTCCATTACATCACATGTTGCCGGGCGGAGCAGGGGAACGGTGCTGAGAGGGCCCAGGTGATATGGATCAGCCGTGGGGTAAAGCCCCAGCGTCAGCCTCAGCCCCAGCCCGACAGGGTCTGACTGTCTCAATGGGAGAGTCAGTGCACTGAAATTGTGCACACTATGATTTCCCATAGTAGCAATAAACCCTATAGGATAACAACAGAGACATGCAACAACTTACAAGGCCCCTTTCCACTGTGGAAGCAACCACCTGAAGGCCATGCTTATTTTCTATTTGTATTATTAATTTGCATATCGGGCCTTAATTATTGAGTTAATGAATTAATTTACATCCTCAAGGTTAGGTATAGCGTCCCATGTTTCTAATTGTTTATGGAAAAATAAAAGAATGTCTTCAGGAGCAACAACATAATTGTGTATCCCTTTTCTCCTTGCTGTTTGATAGTGGATTGACCTCATATATCTCCCAATTGCCTTGGAGTCTCTTCCTCCTATTCAAATGGCAGGAATAGATCACTGACAGAGAGCCAAGCCCACAGTAGACAGAGGTCATTGCCACTGTGAAATTAAACAGGCAGAAGGGGGGCCTCCCGCCCTCCACCGATGCTGCAGCAGAACCCAGTCCAAGTAACAGACAGTCCAAGAGACTCAGGCATAGTGCATCATCACCCACAGTGATACAGTTGAAATGAGTGCCCTCAGGCTAGCCACGCCATATCAGTAATAGAAAATAAATGTATTTACAATTTCCTGTTTCTACAATAAATATCTTGATAGCCGAGAGAAAAATCCACTGCTGGTGTTGGTTGTCGTAAGATAAGGTCACAAGTAATTTTCACTGCCAAAACAGCTTAATCTATTTCTCTGGCAGGGTTTTCTGCACTCAGTGAGAGTGTGTGTGACCTTTTTAGTGGGCAGATGATAGCTGTTTCCACCGAGACAGGAATAGAAAACAAAATGACCTGTTTACAGACCAAAAAGGGCAGTGTAAGCACTTTGCCTTTCTTGGCAAGCTGCAGTCTTTGTCAAGAGTATGCTAACTTTGTTAGCATACAGTGATCTTGACCTCAGCCTATGCCCCGTATGAAAGACTCATGCCTACTGGGGATGACACGGGCACCCATAGAGGAGGTAACTGACCTTTCACCCGGATATGATACTCAGCCACTGCCACTGCTGCTGCAATGTTGTGTTAAATATGGTGCCATATTTAACATAATAACATCATTTTCCAATGAGGATAGGGTTGGGTTGGGGTTTGGATGGGTTGGGTTGGTATGGGATGGGATGACTGGGAGCTTTTGGGTGGATTTTCCTCTGACCTTCTTCCCTTCCCCCACTGTAGATGGACACCATGGAACATCTAAGGGAGGAGATCAGTGGGATGGCACGGTGCCCATACGATGCCAAACACTCTAATGTCGCCCTGTTTGCGGGTGAGAGACCATAACTAATTCGTTACTGTGGATGTGGCCTGGGAAAATATAGGGTACACTTTAACCTAAAGACATAGCCTTAAAAAGCTTGCATTACCACATCAATATGAGTGCAATATATATATATTATGTTGAGTGTGTAATGTACTGTGTATATTTTGTATACAGCAGTACTGTGTGTCTAAGACAACTTTCCCCTCAGGGACATTAAAGTTCTTCATATCTTATCCAATACTAAGAGAAATTAAACCACTTGTAAATGCTATGTCAAGAATTTGTATTTATTTACAATGTATCAATATGGCTCACAGTAATTACTTACATTTATTATGTAAATGTTCATTAGCTAGATAGGAGAATCTTTCTCTATTTGAACGCAAGGTTGCATTAGGTATACTGTCGTGCATTTAATACTTTGTGGCCTATTTTGATACCAATACACTAACTGTATGTCAGGAATAAGTGGCAGTCTGTTACATGCTGTTGAACAAATTGTTGAACTCTGGGCCACATTTGTTCCGTGTTTCTGGGAAGACTCTGTTGCTTGGCAGATGTAGATTGTGGGCAGCTTGGAAACACAAGAAGTGGTTTTACACCCCAAAAATTTAATCTTCTCCCGAATGTGGGGATTAAAAATAAATCAAAAAGACGAAACCCCAAATGAGTCATCTTTCCGTTGGTGGGTTACAACTCCTCCAACTGGGGAGCTTTTACAGTGATTCATTCCCAGTGATATTTGCTGTGAACCGATTTATGAGATTTTTGTTTTCCTGCGAATAGCCAAGGCAGAGTAAACGCCTTTAGATGACCAGTTCATTTGTAGCAGCAGAATTGGAATGGGAATCTCTGAGTAATCAATAGGGTTCTTTACTATCCTTTCAATTCAACCTGGTCTCAGGACATTTCGTATTATTCTGTATGTAAATCCAAGACCCTCCATTTTGTATGATATGTTACGTTTCGTATGGTATGTATTAATTTGTGGATGTCCATCACTCATTTTGATATGTTACGAATTACAATTCATATTATACATTATATATACAAAAGTATGTGGAAACCCCTTCAAATTAGTGGATTCGGCTATTTCAGCCACACTCGTTGCTGACAGGTGTATAAAATCGAACACACAGCCATGCAATCTCCATAGACAAACATTGGCTGTAGAATGGCCTTACTGAAGAGCTCAGTGACTTTCAACGTGGCACCATCATAGGCTGCCACCTTTCCAACAGGTCAGTTTGTCAAATTTCTGCCCTGCTAGAGCTGCCCTGGTCAACTGTAAGTGCTGTTATTGTGAAGTGGAAACGTCTAGGAGCAACAACGGCTCAGCCGCGAAGTGATAAGCCACACAAACTCACAGAATGTGTTGAAGCGCATAGCGCGTAAAAGTTGTCATTACCGAGTTCCAAACTGCCTCTGAAAGAAACGTCAGCACAAGAACTGTTCGTCGGGAGCTTCATGAAATGGGTTTCCATGGCCGAGCAGCCACACACAAGCCTAAGATCACCATGCGCAATGCCAAGCGTCGTCTGGAGTGGTGTAAAGCTCACCGCCATTGGACTCTGGAGCAGTGGAAACGCGTTCTCTGGAGTGATGAATCACGCTTCACCATCTGTTAGTCCGATGAACGAATATGGGTTTGGCATATGCCAGCCTTCCTCAATGCATAGTGCCAACTGTAAAGTTTGGTGGAGGAGGAATAATGGTCTTGGGCTGTTTTTCTTGATTCGGGCTAGGCCCTTTCCTGTTTCAGTATGACAATGCCATGGCAAAGCGAGGTCCATACAGAAATGGTTTGTCGAGATTGGTGTGGAAGAACTTGACTGGCCTGCACAGAGCCCTGACCTAACCCCCATTGAACACCTTTGGGATGAATTGGAATGCCGACTGTGAGCCAGGCCTAATCGCCCAACATCAGTGCCCGACCTCACTAATGCCCTTGTGGCTGAATGGAAGCAAGTGCCCGCAGCAGTGTTCCAACAGTGGAAAGCCTTCCCAGAAGAGTGGAGGCTGTTATGGGGGGACCAACTCCATATTAATGCCCATGATTTTGGAATGAGATGTTCGACGAGCAGATGTCCACATAGTTTTGGTAATGTAGTGTATGTTACGAATTTTGCAATACGTACAATATGTTACGAATTTGCAAAACGTATGATATGTTACGAATTCTGTCTAGGTGGCTAACGTTAGCTAGCTCGCTAACGTTAGCTAGGCTAGGTGTTAGGGGTTAGGGTTAAAGTTAGGGTTAAGTTTAGGAGTTAAGCTAAAGGATTAAGTTAGGGTTAGGGTTAGGGGAAGGATTAGCTAAAAGGGTTAGGGTTAGGGGAAGGGTTAGCCAAAAGGGTTAGGATTAGGGGAAGGGTTAACTAACATGCTAAGTAGTTGCAAAGTAGCTAAAAAGTTGTAAGTAGTTGAACAATTGCTAATTAGCTAAAATGCTAAGGTTGCGAGTTCGAATCTCATCATGGATAACTTTAGCATTTTAGCTAATTAGCAACTTTTCAACCCTTCACCTAACCCTGACCTTAACCTTAGACGTTCACGTTATACACTCCCCCCCCATCCACCCCGACCAACCACCCTCCTTTCATTTTTGCCTTAAGTAACCATCTGTATTATGTAACCATACCAAACGTAACATATCATTCTAAATGGAGTGTATCGGATTTACGTACAGAATAATATGAAATGCTCTGAGACCATGTTGTTCAATTATGTAGTTAAAGTTTCCAATGCAGCCATCCAATTGAAGCTGAGGAGCTGAGTTCATCCTCGTTGCGGATACTGTTCGCATTGAGGAGCATGTGTGTGTGTGTCTGTGTGTACAGTCTGTTTGTTCTCTGTCAATGAGCCTGAGGTTTCTGTGTGTATCCATTTCTCTGGTCTTGGTTTCATCTACATGTTTGTGTATCCAGTGACCAACATCAGAATCTCTGAGTGTTTGTTTGTGTGTTTGGCCCATGACTGGTACGGCGGTTGACTTCTTATCCCTCTCCCTCTCTCTTCTCCCTCCAGATGGAAAGCTCTACTCCGCAACAGTAACAGATTTCCTAGCGATTGATGCAGTCATTTATCGTAGCCTTGGAGATAGCCCAACTTTGCGCACTGTCAAACACGACTCCAAGTGTCTCAAAGGTGAGGAGAGCCATCGGATATATAGACCTGAGGGTTGAAAGACGTGATAACATGGACAATGAATGACTGGTTGGAAAACAAATCAGAGTTAGAGTGAAAGGGGGGTGATTTGAGGGATGATTTGCTATTGCAACACACTTTCTTTGATGCTGTCACTCTCACAACCTTTCCCATAGCAGTTATGTACTCAGGAAATTGGCTGCCCCAGGGAACGAAAAGAACATGACCAGGTTGTCAAAGCTGAATGGGGAGATCCCTCATTCCCCCCCACATGTAAATAGCCCCCTAATAGAGATGATGGATTGAGCTACTCCCGGTGCTGTGCCTGGGCTGTGCCTCACTGCACACTGTGATTGATACTTTAGGTATTGGGTGTAAAATGGGGTGTCTGATCTGTTTTGTGATGACATGCCTTCTTTTTTTTCCAGAGCCGTATTTTGTACAGGCAGTTAACTACGGTGACTTCATCTACTTCTTCTATCGAGAAATTGCCATGGAGTACAACACAATGGGAAAGGTAAGCTGATTGGGGTTGTCTGTCCCTTTTCTTCTACTCGAATCAGGGCTACTTCCTCCTGAACAGGAGAGCCAGGAAGTGCTTTGGGAAGTAAATAGGAAGAGGGTGTATCAAGTATCTGAAAGGGCGTTCAGCAAGACCAAAATGGTCAACCTTTTTCGATATAGAAAAACATTTGCAGGATGTAGGCCTAAAAATAGTTGAGAAAACATGTTAATGCCGCCTGGAAAGTCATTTTGAAGTCAAAATATATTCTCTGACTTGCACGTTCGTGCTACTGTTCTCCGAAATGAGACAGACAGGAAAAGAGAGGAAAGGAAAATTACTTTATTCTTCATTCAAGGTTTTTGACCAGAGGGATATGAAAGATGTTTCGATTAATTCTTTCATTTCAGTTTGCATGTAGAAGGTTTAATTGGGTACCTACAAGGAAATTATATAATTATATAAACATTATGTATTTTTGATTAAATGGGGGCGGTGGGGAAGGATTTTCACCCAATTCCGACTGACATGTTGTACTGCACATGAATACCAAGTAAAATTCTCTGGTTATTTTGAAAGGGATATCAATATAACGAAGCATGTGCACAAAGTGGTTTGGTGGGTAATTTGGGGTAGAGGAATGGTACTTCCTGATTGAATAACTGAAGTTTCTTTTGACAATCTGAAACGTAAGAAGTTCCACAGTCATTAATAATGTGGGCTGTTGCCAGAGGAGGCAACATGCCCCGATCCACATCAACGGGACCGCAGCAGGGTGAGTCAGCAGTTTTAAGGTCCTCGGCGTCCACATCCCCGAGGACTTGTCATGGACCAACAACACCACCACTCTGGTCAAGAGGGCGCAACAGCGTCTCTACTTCCTAAGGCGGCTGAAGAAATGTGGATGCCACCCCGGGTCCTCTCTAAATACTACCGCTGCACCATCGAGAGCGTCCTGACCGGATGCATCATGGCCTGGTATGGGAATTGCCCCATCCACGACCACAAGGCCCTCCAGCGGGTGGTAAAGATAGCCCAGTACATCACTGGAACCGGGCTCCCACCTATCCAAACGGTGCCTGAGGAAGGCCCGCAGCATCATCAAGGACCCCACACACCCCAGCCAAGAGCTGTTCACTCCCTTACAGTCGGGCAGACGGTATCAGAGCATGAGGTCTGATACCAACAGGCTCAGAGACAGTTTCTATCTACAAGCCATCAGACTTCTGAACACTTGAACTGGACTGGCCACCTGCTCTGATTCTCCGTTCTTTAGCACACATGCACTCACTGCACAATTTAAACACTTGCCCCCAATCCCCCCTTCCCCAAAACACATGTAAATATTGGACTATTGTCCCTTCCTGTATTATGCTTATGCCAAAATGTTTATTCTGTTCTACTGAGCCATTTACTTTATGTTCGTATTCTTATCTTTTATTATTTATTATTGTTGTCGCATTGTCGAGAAGGAACCTGCAAGTAATCATTTCGTTGGACGGTGTATACCATGTGTATCCCGTACATAAGACTAATACAACTTCAAACTTTAAACTGGGTGTGTCTGAAATATCCACTGTGTGTGTGCGTTGTCCAGGTGGTGTTCCCCCGTGTGGCCAGGGTGTGTAAGAACGACCGGGGCGGCTCCCAGAGAGTTCTGGAGAAACAGTGGACGTCCTTCCTGAAGACCCGTCTCAACTGCTCTATCCCAGGAGACTCCCACTTCTACTTCAACATTCTGCAGGCCGTCACCGACGTCATTCACATCAACGGACGCGACGTTGTCATGGCAACCTTCTCCACACCTTACAACAGGTACGAGGGCCGGCAGCCACACAAAAGGAAATCAATTTCCCAGGCCACCCCAGCACGTAATTCACTGCCACAATAGTTTTGTGCCCTTTGGTCAGGTGCGTAATGTTATTCCTGCATTATTCATATTGAGAATGGAGAATACTTTAAATTTAAATTACAAAGGAGCAGTAGAGCTGCCACGTATTGTAATTCCCATTTTATGGTGGTTTTTAGGCAATAAGACAATTGCTTGTGACAATGCAATTGAGCATGGTTAATTGGCATTAAAAGTCAATGAAGCGGCTTGGAATTTCTATAAGCGAATTTGATCTGGGCATGAATTGCAGTTAGTGAGCGAAATGAGAGGGAACAGATTTTGACTGGAGGTAGCATTCAGGATTTATTAGCCATTCATTTAACCAAGTGCCTTGGCAGCATGGCTTGCCTCTCGCTCTGTACATAGCCAACGCTGGCTGATTACTGAGATTTACAGCCTTGGCCACGAGGTTAACAGAATATCAACTCTGTAACTGTTACATTCCTGTCCTTGTACATGCTGTCTCTTAATGCCAAGGCAGCTGAAATGCCCCTAAGAAACGACTAGGAAATAGACAAGCGATTCAGAGCTATGCTATGCACAGTTTGCACACAGTGGAATCCTATCATTCGGACTGAGGAATTTTCTTTTTGGGGGGTGGGATGTTTATACAGCATTCCTGGGTCGGCCGTCTGCGCCTATGACATGGCTGAGGTGGCCAATGCGTTCATGGGACGTTTCAAAGAGCAGAAGTCCCCTGATTCCACCTGGACACCTGTTCCTGAGGATAAAGTTCCAAAACCAAGGTATGCCCCCCTCTCCCACACACAAACGCAGGCACACCCGCAGCATGAAAGAAGCTCGATATCAGCAAACAAAGCATGAGATCATATTCCAGATGGCTGCCTACTTCTACAAATGCACCAGCCTGATAAATCTCCATCTCTGCGTTCCTAATTACCCGGCAAAGAGCACCTCCTTTTCTCTGGTGAAACAAGCTTTTAAAAACCGAGATCTGTGGATGGGGATCGTAAGTGGTGTTTATCCCCATATGGCTGCTGATGATGTGGAGAGCAACAGCATACCTCCCCTGGTGATTAGCATAAAATGATGTGTTTGTGTAAAACAAGGTCAGGTGTTAATGAGATCTGAAATCTACATCTCGTTTATTCAATTTCATTTCTGTCGACGTTATCAGCAGACAAACAGAAGGGAGTTGTCGCAATGTTTCCCAGGTTTCTTTTACAGTGTCTTCTGCAGCAGCAGCAGCAGACATGCCATGTGTCATCGTCTTCCTGACTGATCTGCCTCTGGTGCTCTCTTTATGTACTGTAGATCTTATTACATTCTGCAGTGTCTACCATGGAAAATTGGTAAAATTCTGTGGCCTGGGTGTACCGTAGTACAGTAAAACCTTTTTATGGCTGTTGAGAGGTGAGATGTCTTTGAACGGATCTCCTATCAAAGGCAGCTTCACTTTTACAGGGCCCCTCTCCTCTGCTCCTCTGTCCTTATAAAGAGATCAAATGGCCGCTCTCTGACTCTCCCCTGTTTGATTCCCTGCTGCTTTCATCCACTTCAGGCCCGGGTGCTGTGCTGGCTCGCCGTCCGTAGAGAAGTACAAGGTGTCCAACGAGTTCCCTGACGACACCCTGAACTTCATCAAGCAGCACCCTCTCATGGATGAAGCTGTTCCCTCTATCGCTAACAGGCCCTGGTTTCTCAAGACCATGGTGCGGTGAGTATAGCCTCACTAGCTAGGATAGTACGCTAGCTAGCTTGCTAGCTAGGTCTGGGTTATGGGTAGATTTCATCAACGTTATGCATGCATTATGCATTCATATTTGTAATAACCGGTGGTATCTTTATATAAATAAATCGTGGTAACATTTGTGATTTAAATGGCATGGCACATAGCAAAGCGTTACGTTACAAGCAATGTTGGCAGTTAAAAGCATTATATAAGTCTAAAGCAGTCACTTTTATGAGGGCATATGGTGGAGAGGCGGTTTTAGTATCTATGTCACAGCCTCTGTGTGTAGTATGACTCTGACACAGGAAGTCAACCGCAAACTGACTCTGGAATAGGACTTTATCTCATCTATTCCCCAAAGGGACATCTCTGAATTCAAGCTTTTGTTACAAATGGGAGTGGACTATCAAATCCTATCAACTATGAAAACCTATTCCGTTCCCCGATGTACAGTATGTTCTGGCAGCTAGCCAGGCACAATTTGTAGATTGTCCCTCTTAAGATTTCCTATTATGGGACAAAATCATGGACATAGTCCTTGAGGTTGTTGTTACTCTTAATAGGACAGAAACATATAATACTTGAGATTGCTGTTATTGTTGATAGTACAAAACCATGGGCATAGTGAACACAGACATTCAATGTCATTTCAAACCAAACAGTCTGAGTGGGAGAGAAGAAGGCCTCTTCTCATTAATTTGATTGTGATGTGCGCATTTACTCCGGTAATGTGAAATCATCTTGTGCTCTCATTCCAGCATAGGCATTGCACATGTTTTATATCTCGTGACCCTGTGTAAAGAAGAGATGTCTTTAAACAGCCAAATGGAGAGGATGTGGGGTCCTTGAATGACTGAATAATGTATTTGTCTTTCATAATTTCCATCTCACTGAATGAATAGCTATAAAAATATGTTTGCATACGGATCTGCAAATTATACATCCTTTTGATAACACTAGGAGCTCCATGGTCCAAATCTAATTGGATATCCTACTAGATAACACTCAGTGGAGTTTAGCCCCAAAAATTAAATCAGGAAATCCATAAATGTGTTATTCCTGCTATTCCATATCCCTTCCAGATACCGGCTGACCCGGATCTCCGTGGACAACGCTGCGGGACCCTTTCGGAATCACACCGTCGTTTTCCTGGGCTCGGAGAAGGGGATCATTCTGAAATTCCTGGCCAAGATGAACAGCGGTTTCCTGAATGACAGTCTCTTTCTGGAGGAGCTCAACGTGTATAACCCGGAGAAGTGTGTATTCCATTAGCTAGCCATGCTACCTAACCCAGCAGTGCTACCCCAGCCACCAGATGGCTACTCTATCATTTAAAGTGTTTCATCAGGTTACACTGCACTGACCACAGCTATTAAATTAAAGAGCCGGCCCTGGAACTTCAGTAACGGGGGCTCAGACCGCAAAGCTTTACTCTTACAAATGCAGAATGATGAAAGAAAAAAGAGATGGACTGTGTTAGTCTTTAAAGCCAGCCTGAGATCTCTCCTTAATACATTATGAAGGAGCTTTTGGAAAATGTGGAATGGAAGTAGGGAAAAATCTGCCTGGGCCTTGCCAATGCAAATATTTACATGACAGGCCTGATGATGGACTAGAGTCAATGAGCGGGGATGAGAGGAATGTCTTTCAAGGTGACGGGCGTTTGTTATCCAACATCGTAGTGTCACGTGACAAGGGTGGGTGTGGGATAAAGTACGAGCCCCCTCTTTCCCTCTCCCCCCTCTCTTCGTAGCATGGGCAGAGGAGTCTCTGGCCCGCAACCATCTGGCCTGAGCGGATAGCATAAGTGACTTGCTGGGTTGGATCAGGATCTGGGTTTGCCCACCGCACATTACAGTGTACATGACATTACATTGACTATACGCCCTAATTGAGGGCTCTAATGCAGGGCTGGAGGTAAATCCCTCCTCTGGGGTAGATGGATGCTCTGAACGGTGGGATTAGCGTGGACTCTCTCTTATACCCCGCAGACAAAAACGCTTGGGTGGGGCTTTGAGCAGCTTTCAACAAAGACTGGAGTTGTTTTAAGTGCTCTGTTAGTGTTGACAACTCATGCCGTCCATCTGTCTGTCTGTCTGTCTCTCTCTCTGCCTCTAACTCTAACTCCCCATCCAGGTGCAGCATCGATGGCGTGGACGACAAACGTATCGTCAGCATGCAGATCGACAGCCAGGGCCACTCTCTGTTTGTGGCCTTCACCTCCTGTGTGATCAAGGTGCCGCTCTCTCGCTGTGAGAGGCACGGCAAATGCAAGAAGTAGGTTTAGAAATGAAACCCCTCCATCCATCCATTCTCTTAGATTCAGGGCTTTTGTAATGCATTTGTAATGTCATAACTAATCAGTCTTCAGGAAAGTAAAAGAAAGGCTTTGAAGATGCAGGTTGTGATGAGAGTTGTGTGTGTGTGGTGTGTTTCCTCCAGATCATGTATTGCCTCCAGGGATCCCTACTGCGGCTGGGTGTCCGAAGGAGCATGCAGACAGGTGGTGCTCGACCCAAAGTACGTTCCTGCTCATTCCACTGTCATACTATCGATTTCATGTACAGTAGTCATAATACAATCTGTGCCATGTGATGACTGGTGACCTCAATGACTTCACTCTATCTATACAGTTGCTGTTTCAATGATTAGTTACATTTTGGTGGTGCTCTGTATTTTCTTCCAGCTGAACGGGCCATTGGAAAGGCTGATGGAAGGAAAGGGATATTTACTCTGGCGCTGGGGCTGGGGCTGGGGCTGGGGCTGGGGCTGGGGCTGGGGCTGGGGCTGAGACTGGGGCTGGGATTTGCGAGGAGGGGGTTGATGGTCACCATCATTTGTAGCTATATTTATGACACAGAACTAGATGCGTTTTGAACAAACAGCATATGAGGTTTCTGTGGGGGGAAACCAATTTTACAGATGAAGTCATAATAAAGGAACAGCTTTTGATGTTCAATTAATTTAATCCCAGCCAAATGATTGGTCTCGCATGCTACATTACGATATCCTATTATTATTTCTAAAGCCCGGGCCTCTCGACTGTTCTGATTGAGTTTCCACTTTGGAAATTGAGTAGACAGAGGCATTAGGAGGTTAGATGACCTCACTTTTTACTGTACAATATTTCTAAGTGAGTGAGTGGGGATTCGAGAGCTATGATCTGTTGGTTTTGTGGCGTGCTATTGAAAGCTTTTGGATGGACACGTCCCAGTGTTTAATAAAAGGCCTTAATATGAACAGGCCCTGGAGAGGCTCAGTTTCTCTCTCTCTCTCTCTCGATCGCATCGCGAGGCGCGCGAGAGAGCCATGAGACCCTCGCGAGAGAGCGCGCGCGCCAAACGAGCGCGCGCGAGGCGAGCGGAGCGCGGCGCGAGCGCGAGCGCGAGCGCGCAGACGGCTCATACGGGAGCGAGGCGGCGCAAAGAGACGAGTGCGAGAGACGAGCAGAGCGCGCGCGCGAGAGCGGAGCTAGACGAGAGCACCAACACAAGGGAGCGCAGGGGCGCGAGCGCGCGAGCAGCGCGACGCGCGCAGAGAGCGCGCGCGAGCTGCGCCGCAAAAACGGGCGATCACTTACTGCAGAGAGAACACACGGGCCTATCAACAGGAAGTATCGAGAGGGGAGCTCTAGAGAGTAGCTCAGACGATGCTGCTGCTAGCGATATCATCTCCTCTCTGTAGCTCGCTCTCTCTCTAACGACTTTCTCTCTCCACACTCTATCCTCTCTCTCTATCTCTCTCTCTCTCTCCTCTCTCTCTCTCTCTCTCTCTCTCTCTCTCTCTCTCTCTCTCTCACACTTTCTCTTTCTCCCTCTCCACATCCATCTGGACTTGGGGGATGATTTGCCAGCTCTTCCATGTAGAGATGCCTCTTTTAATGTCTGAAAACAGATTGGTCCCTCGTCACCTGCATATTCCCCCTGACCAGCTTGCATATGATGTGGTTCTGCTGTTGACTACTCCTCCCCATGCTAACACCTGTACTATAGTATAATAACAGGTTCCCACTTGCACCTCCCTCTTGCGTATTCCCTGAGAAAGCCAAGGCTAGATAAATCGAGATCAGAAAAATAACTACTTGGCGTGTGTGTGGAAAGATTTTAAGGTTTTGTTCATGCAACTGTGCGTTTGGCTTGTGATTATGTGTCTATGATACGCAAATCAGATTAGCAGATTAGGAGATACCAAGAGATGGATTTTGTTTCTGCATTTCAGACAAAATTATTTGATCAAGATCCTTCTTCTGGTTTGAAGCCTCGTAGACTAGCCTGTGTAGAGCATGATCCACTTTCTGATTGTGAGCAGTGGTTTAGGGAATGTGGGCTGTCATCCGTGACTGTAATCTCTCTGACAGTTGGCCGCTCTGTTTCACTACGTGGTTGGTGGTCCTTCAGGAAAGTGGGGTCTAAGCTGAGCACGGCTGGGAGAAAATGGCCTCTCTGTCACGAGAGTTGCCCGCTGCCCTAGTGTCCACCATCCTTCCTCCTCATTGGCCGATCCGTGTGATTAGATGATTGGACCATAGACTGTATATCGATAGTGATGGTAGAAAGCAGTGTTGTCCTCCTGGCTGATTGTGCCTGTGCTCATCCTGTGCTCATCTGTCCAGGCCTGTGCTCAGTATTTCACCATGATGCCTCTGTTCATTATGCAGATCGGCCTTCGAGCAGGACGTGGAGCATGGCAACACAGATGGACTGGGAGACTGCCAAAGTAAGCAGGTCTCTTCCCTCTGTTGATCTGGGCTCAATGTGCCTCTGTCCTACAGGACAGGGACGGGTCTCTCACCCCACCATAAACAGCAGAAAATACACACATCATACACACACAAAGACACAGACACACAACCACACACACACACTCACGCATGCATGCGCGTGCACGGACATACACACACAGACACACACACACAGCCCCATACATCACTGAAGAAGAACTCTCTGTATAGACTAGAGTAGAGCACATAGCTCTGTGTTAGTTTCTGGTTAATACCAATTAATTAGAAGAAAACAAGAAAACAAAGACTTCACAATCCTTTAACCAGAGAAGCACTATAGATCACAGTAGATAAGAATGCCTATCTTCAGTTACGATCTTCAATTACTTTAAGGAGATGGGTTTTGAATGATCAATGTATCATTAATCTTGCAACTTTAGCTTTTGCTCTTTGAAAACATTAACACATCTTTCCTTTGACTTTTTAGATACGTTCGTGGCCCTCAATGGTAAGTAACCACACAAAATTAACAAGATGTTACCTACCCTCACCCTTATTTATTTTCAGCTCTTCTCTTCAATCAATTCTTTGCTCTCACCGAAAGGAAACCCCGGCCACTATTTCACAAGAGACTAAACGAACTGAGCTTTAATTGAATTCATTCCTTTTCTTTCTGTAGATGTTCAGTCCAGTCCTCATGGTCATGAAAGGGCTCGCCATGGTCAGTTTATTTTTGTTTTCCCCCAGTCTGTTTTAAAGTGTAGTACTGTAGCTTCTAGCGCCCTCCCTAATCCACTCCCTAGTGTTCAGAGTCCAGACCTTCTCTCCCCTCCACCCCTCCTCCTGCCCTGGCCTGCTCTGCTGTGAAAGATCCCTAGACTGCAATGCAATAGCATTGATTTGTCCTGACCTTTCATTCCCTAATGGATCTTGTTGTTAAAGGAAAAGGCATCTGAGGTTCATTGTGGTTCACTAGACTCATCAAGGCACATGGAAATGATGGAGGTTGTTGACAAACACAAGAAGCTGCAACATTTTTCATACAAACCCACAGCCGTGCTGCACAATACCACTAGTTTAGGCTACAGCATGAATACTCACGCAGACAGACTGCACAATTCAATTCCACACTTACACCTATCGAGTGTGTTTATGCTTGATTCTTGGTGCTGGTTGATTGAAACCATCCCCCCCCCCCCCCCCCCCCCCCCCCCCCCCCCCCCCCCCCCCCCCCCCCAGGCTTATGAAGAAAAATGATAAACAGTCTTGATTAGCCTGCAGCGATGTCACAGTCTTCCATAGCACCTCACACATCACACTTGAGCTGTACAAGATTCACACTCCCATATGGAATGACAAGAATAGCAATTTTTTGGAAGTCATTCCAGATATACCCCCCCACTCCTTATTTTCTCCCCCCTGTGTTTCTCCCCCTACTGTGTTCCCCAATTTCTTCCTGTCAGATTTCGGGTCAAATACAAAGCGTTTGCTATTTCAATGCAGCCCAACAGAAGTGTGTTTATTCTACCCAAGGTCTGACTTTGTTTTTGAGGCAGTCAAACCCAAGCATTTCAGGTTCCGACACAGACTGTTGATATTATATTGAAGAGGAAAAGGGATCTGCACAAGTCGGCAGTTTAGGATTTTATGTTCCGAGGAGCCGATCCTCCGCCTCTGTATGTTTGTCATCTGCCTGAATTGCACTTCCCCTGGCCGTGGAAAATTAATTATAAAATAGTCCTGTCACACTAATCTCTCAGCCCACGGTGCATTGTTAAATAAATCATTTTAATGATTGCCACGCGAAGGCTGCGGGGCTGTTGTGCATGGAAGACCAACAGCAACAATCCCAGCCCCCTACCACCTCTCCCCCTCCCCACCAGCCTCTCTATCCGCAACCACCACTCATGAGAAAGCGTGTTAAAATGGTTTACTGTGAGATGGCCTGATTAACATACGAGCTGTTGATTACAGTATGGCCGCTCACCGCCTGGGAGTAGCCTCAAATTATTGCTCTAAACAGGAGAGACGTGGGGATGGTAATGTGATAATTTGATAATGTGATTTATATGGTTTTCTTGTCAGAGGAGCCACCAAAATATACAGACTGGAGCTGAAGGCGGAGGTAGAACGAATATTGATATTGATACAACATAACAACAAAAATAACAGAGTATGGTAGGGTCTAATTTTAGTCCTGTTTTAACTGTGGCCAGTGATAGGCCAGCAGTGCAGGGTGTCCTTAAGGAGTGTAATCAGAAGGGTAATTTAGGTTAGAGGACATTAATATCTTAATAACCCCTCATGATTAATTTGGTCATGTTGTTGGGCTTTTTCAAAGAGCTCTACTAAATATAGCTGATGGATTGACATTGAAACGTAGTGGGTGGAGGAGAGCCTGGGACGAGAAGAGAAGGGAGGATTGTTAGGGAGGGATAGGGCTTTTTCTTGCTCTTCATATCAAAGGTATGCCTCCCTGAGGTGATTGTGTGAGAGGCGGTTCAGTTCGAGCCAGCGGCAGCGTGACATGTGAGTGAGAAAAGGAAAGGTTCTCCTCTCCTCAGAGACTCTCTCTCTCTCTGCCTCCCTGCAAGGCCACAGCTCTCTGAAGATAGAGGGCCCAGTAATGAGTTGCCCAGGGTCGCCTCACTAGGCAGGGAGGCAGGCACACTGTCTTGTAGCTTCGCACAGCCCATCTGCCCCTCGAGTGTGTGCGTATGTACATCTGTGTGAAAGAGAGTGTGAGGAGAGTTAACCTGTGTTGTGTCCTGCAGGCCATCCCACCCTCCCATTCCCCACCACAGCCCACCCCCCTGCAGGAGGACCACTGGGTCGGGGCGGCATGGTGGAGCAGGCGGACACCCCCATGCCCTCAGATAACAGGGACCCCTATATGGCGGTGCCCTCTCAGACCCAGCAGGATGCCAATGGTAAGCCTTGGAATAGAAAAGTCCATTTCTCCAGTGGCAGGGATGAGATTAACTGTGTCTGCTTCCAGCTGACTAGCCCGGAACTGTAACAGTGTCAGGAGAGAACAAATTGCCACGCCCTGGAGAGAGAGATTTATTAAACAAAGACTCTAATGTCCCTGAGGAGATGTAATATACAGACCATTACGCTTCAGGAAAAAAATGAAGATTTCACTGTATTTATTTCCACAAGAAGATGGCCCCAGCTTTATCTTGTGCAGGGACATGACATTGAATGCCCTTTTTTGCCGTGTTAACATCCCAGCTGGCTCAAGGTCACTTTAAACCCAGACACATAAAGACGCCGGGAGATAACACAGCCGTGATTACACTGGCATGATCAATGTCATGTACCGTAATAGAGCAGGAAAACCATTAGAAGTTCCATTACACCAAATGTAATGTCTCCTTGGTACATTACCTGAGTCATCTTATTAGATGAGTGGCTGCCATAAGTAGATATTGATAATCAATAAGGGTGATTAGAGGTGGCCTTGTAGATATCCACAAAACACACACACACACCAATGAGGAGTGCAGCTAGAGGACTGTGTGTGTGTGTGTTAGGGTGAGGTCATCAGAGAGTCTATCTCTCTCTCTGGTGCGTGGCAGTGTGTGGGGTCTCTGGGGTTGTACTCTAGGGATGCGTCACAATTCTCCACCCTTCTCCTGAAGTGAGCACTTCCCATCACAGATTTGAAAGCATTGGTGAAAATATTGACAGGAGGGAGTTTCCACCATTGTCATTGTCACCATCCATGATGGGAATTGTGAGAAAAAAGTGGAAGGATGGAGAATGGAGAATGGGGATGCAGTCTAGGTGAAGATCAGTGAGCAAGCTGTCTCTCTCCTGTCACTCTCCTCTCTGGAAGCAGACACCTGTAGGCAGACCAGACAGACACAATGGTGGCAGAGAATACAGCATGGTGTTGCTACCCTCGTTGCTGTTACCTGGGTTCTGGCTGGCCCCGTCCATCATGGCAACCGAGTTAACAGCAACAAGGGCTCACATTCAAACTCAAGCTTCTCATAGTATTTTTTTTCTCTTTTCTTTTCAACGTCACTTTTGCAACTTGTCTCAGTATTATCAGTTCACTTTCTGCTCTAGCTGCTTTGAAAGTGAGCTCTGATGATATTGTCTGTTTTGGTTCTGTGACTGTTTGCATGTTTTTAAACTCTGGCTTGACTATTTATGTTCTTGCTTGGATTGCTTTGATGGTATTAAGCACCGTTTTGCCATCATGCAGCTTAAACCGTCGCTGCATGGCAATTGAGCACCACTTTCAGCAGTACTCATCTCCTTATGTTCTTATCACTCTTTCCCCTGTGCAGGTGCACTTCTCTTCTCATTCCTAGCTCCAGGTGCCGAATGTACTGTGAAAACACAGCAAACACAATGGTAGAGCTGAGTGCCAATCTAACACATTAAGGTTATAGGGTCTGACAGCAACTGTCTCTTAGCATAACCATCAAACCTCCATCTTAGCCAAATGAACATGAATACTGTACATAAAGTACAGAGAAATCTGAATTCTTCATCACCAGATGTTTTGAACTAAATGAAGTTGCATTGACATTAATTCAACAATTAAACTATAAATATTGCAGATGTATAACTCCCCAAATTCTGAGCCCCCAGATTAATCCTTGCTAGCAATTAAAATGATATGAAATTCCAACTTTCTATTTCAAAGATCACTCATTGGTGGGATCTGTTAATGAATATTACAATACCAATATACAGTGGGGGAAAAAAGTATTTAGTCAGCCACCAATTGTGCAAGTTCTCCCACTTAAAAAGATGAGAGAGGCCTGTAATTTTCATCATAGGTACACGTCAACAATGACAGACAAATTGAGAAAAAAAAATCACATTGTAGGATTTTTAATGAATTTATTTGCAAATGATGGTGGAAAATAAGTATTTGGTCACCTACAAACAAGCAAGATTTCTGGCTCTCACAGACCTGTAACTTCTTCTTTAAGAGGCTACTCTGTCCTCCACTCGTTACCTGTATTAATGGCACCTGTTTGAACTTGTTATCAGTATAAAAGACACCTGTCCACAACCTCATACAGTCACACTCCAAACTCCACTATGGCCAAGACCAAAGAGCTGTCAAAGGACACCAGAAACAAAATTGTAGACCTGCACCAGGCTGGGAAGACTGAATCTGCAATAGGTAAGCAGCTTGGTTTGAAGAAATCAACTGTGGGAGCAATTATTAAGAAATGGAAGACATACAAGACCACTGATAATCTCCCTCGATCTGGGGCTCCACGCAAGATCTCACCCCGTGGGGTCAAAATGATCACAAGAATGGTGAGCAAAAATCCCAGAACCACACGGGGGAACCTAGTAAATGACCTGCAGAATGCTGGGACCAAAGTAACAAAGCCTACCATCAGTAACACACTACGCCGCCAGGGACTCAAATCCTGCAGTGCCAGACGTGTCCCCCTGCTTAAGCCAGTACATGTCCAGGCCCGTCTGAAGTTTGCTAGAGTGCATTTGGATGATCCAGAAGAGGATTGGGAGAATATCATATGGTCAGATGAAACCAAAATATAACTTTTTGGTAAAAACTCAACTCGTCGTGTTTGGAGGACAAAGAATGCTGAGTTGCATCCAAAGAACACCATACCTACTGTGAAGCATGGGGGTGGAAACATCATGCTTTGGGGCTGTTTTTCTGCAAAGGGACCAGGACGACTGATCCGTGTAAAGGAAAGAATGAATGGGGCCATGTATCGTGAGATTTTGAGTGAAAACCTCCTTCCATCAGCAAGGGCATTGAAGATGAAACGTGGCTGGGTCTTTCAGCATGACAATGATCCCAAACACACCGCCCGGGCAACGAAGGAGTGGCTTCGTAAGAAGCATTTCAAGGTCCTGGAGTGGCCTAGCCAGTCTCCAGATCTCAACCCCATAGAAAATCTTTGGAGGGAGTTGAAAGTCCATGTTGCCCAGTGACAGCCCCAAAACATCACTGCTCTAGAGGAGATCTGCATGGAGGAATGGGCCAAAATACCAGCAACAGTGTGTGAAAACCTTGTGAAGACTTACAGAAAACGTTTGACCTGTGTCATTGCCAACAAAGGGTATATAACAAAGTATTGAGAAACTTTTGTTATTGTCCAAATACTTATTTTCCACCATAATTTGGAAATAAATTCATGAAAAATCCTACAATGTGATTTTCTCAATTTTTTTTCTCATTTTGTCTGTCATAGTTGACGTGTACCTATGATGAAAATTACAGGCCTCTCTCATCTTTTTAAGTGGGAGAACTTGCACAATTGGTGGCTGACTAAATACTTTTTTCCCCCACTGTATATTAGGGCAACACATTGGAATGATTAGAATGGTATAATAATGAGTATCCGCACAGTGGATATTTAGTAGTTCACCCTCTGCCAGAAAAGAGCACCAATGTTGCTTGGTGGCCATTGCTGGCTTTCCCAGTACATTTGAGCACCGTTGTGTCTGGGCTCATCTATCCGTGTGATATCCCACCTCTCCCTCCCGCGACCCTCCCTCCCCCTCTACCTCCCCCCGCACCACCATCTGCTACCATTGTGAACCGTCTCCCTTCCACAGGACCTTTCATCTGTTGAGATGGAATGTTCCAAGGCTGTACCTTTATGTAGTGCAAATGTATTACTAACCATATTTATAGAGCATCCTACCCTCTACCAACTGGAGCCATATCTATCTATCTATCCCCTGCCCTGTCTGAGGGAATGAGTCCCGTCCTCCCCCTCGCTCCCTCCTCTGCCCCGCCGACCTGTGGCCATCTCTGTGTGTCTCTCCAATTTATGGGTTCATTATAAAAGCTATCCAGACAGAGTGAGGGGGAGGGAAGGGAAGGGAAGGGAAGGGAAGGGAAGGGAAGGAAGGAAGGGAAGGAAGGAAGGAAGGAAGGAAGGAAGGAAGGAAGGAAGGAAGGAAGGAAGGAAGGAAGGAAGGAAGGAAGGAAGGAGGAAGGGAGGGAGGGAGGAAGGGAGGGAGGGAGGGAGGGAGGGAGGGAGGGAGGGAGGGAGGGAGGGAGGGAGGGAGGGAGGGGGGGAAGGGAAGGGAAGGGAGGAAGGAAGGAAGGAAGGAAGGAAGGAAGGAAGGAAGGAAGGAAGGAAGGAAGGAAGGAAGGAAGGAAGGAAGGAAGGAAGGAAGGAAGGAAGGAAGGAAGGAAGGAGGGAGGGAGGGAGGGAGGGAGGGAGGGAGGGAGGGAGGGAGGGAGGGAGGGCTCAGGTTTGAATGGCATCTGTGTTTATGAAAATAAATAATCTGCTTCTGAACCATCAAGGGTAGAAGTGTATGAAACATATTATGGGTACAGATTTTGTGTTGTATTGTTTAACCCAATGAAGTTACACATGAACATCATTGGCTGTGTTTAGACAGGCAACCCAATTCTGATATTTTTTCACTACCTTCAGTGTTGGTATTTTACACTTGGAATAGACAGACAGTTTGCCAGTTGCATCTAGACCGGTTATTTTCAGCTTCAGTTGCCTGGCACCTGTGTACCAAGGAGAGTGGCATGATAGGGGCACAACCTCGGAGTGGTGCCAATTACTGTGCCAAGATGTCATTTCAGCTTGAACACTCACCATTATCATGCTGGAAAGTCTACTAGGAAAGTCTGAATAAAGGGGATAATCGAAATGAAAAACTGCTCAACGATCCGATTTCCTATATTGTAACGTCTAAATAACAGAATTACTCAGGAAGCCTCTGATTGTATATACTGCACTGTAATATTTAGGTGAACTGAGAGAAACAATGATATGCCATCTCCTATTGAGTCAATATATGTTTCATTTATTTCGGCTTTTCAGTAATATTGTTTGCAGAAGTCTGAAAAAATAATCTGACCTGTTACTTTTACTATTGCGCACTTCCGCCATTTATGTCAAGCTTCAAGCCACGGGCTTCCTTCCTCCCCATTAGCATTATGTTACCCCGCTAGGTTGTCATTTTCTTTTGCCTCAGAGACCACATACAGTACAGTGCCCCTGCATCCCACAGTATCCAGATGGGACTTCCGGC